AAAAAAAAAAAAAAAAAAAAAAAAAAAAGAAACCCTTTGGACTAGTTAAAGTTATCAAAAAAGGGCAAGGAAGGTGTTGTTTCTTTCTTTTTCTAGGATGAGGCGTGCTCTTGTTAATATATAGGCTTTGATAATTATTTTCCTTTTCTAAGTTTTTTGAGGAGATCGTATCATTCTCTTTACTAAAATGGAGATGACAGATTCCGTATTGGCTCTTTTTTGCTTTGTTGTTTCCTTATTGAATAAGAACATTCGTTGCAGAAAAAAAAAAAAAAAAAGTGATGGAAGGAAAAGAATGAATGACCATCAAAGAGAATCATACCAATACTTTAATGCAAGTTAAGGACTCACCTGAGGAGGCGGTTCATTCTCGCCTGTCATTATGTCTACCAGAGGATAGCCTTCTTTCCCATATAATCTAAAAGTACGCTTTTTGCATGGGATTGAGACCTAAACAATGAAGAAATAAGTAAAGAAGCATGAAAGTATAATATGCAAACATAAACCAAAAATCAGCTCTCAATTTTTACAAGAAATTACTTAACATCACAACCTTTGAAACGTCTTCAGAAAGTTTAATGCGGGGCTGATTATTTATTTCAACTAGCTTGAAGACACATCCTAAAGCAGCCTGAGTAAAACATGTAACCAGATAGGTTCCAATTCCAAATGCATCAACCTCATGACCCTGCATAGGATAAACAAATCAAGAAAAACTTGCTCAGTCTGCATATGATCTGTTATAACTCTTCGAGATTGCATGTGTTTCTTGTAACGATCCACAGGATTTAATGGCTGAGCTAGCTAGCGAACTAGTCGAACGACTTGTTAGTTAATAACAAATGAGCTGGCTAGCAGTAGCAGCTATTACACTGCACGCCCTATGAGTTCTACTTCTTCTTTCTAAAGAGGGAGGAATTTGATTTGATGTTAGACAAATCTGCGTAGATATGTTTACTGTAATTAGTGAGTTCAACGGGCTGTCAGTTTTCCTTTTTCCCTTCCTTGTGTGTGTGTGTGTGTGTGTCCCCACTAAGAGAGTAAGCTTTTTAAAAAATTAAGCTGAATAGATTCTTTGTGTGTGTCCACAGTATTCTTTGTTGAGAGCTTATGTGGCAGGAGACACCCTGGCTACCGACGTTCTGATCACTTTTATTATTTATTTTTGTGTTTCCAAGTGTTACCTTTCCCTCGAACGGAGCTGAACTGATCAACGAGAAAGAGGCCCTACTCACTACAAACGAATACACCACAAGATCGAACTGCACTCATGCCTCTCTCGCATCAAGTTGACCGACCCCACTACGTAGTGATTATATCAATCATGTATCTTTCCCTTGCCCCGATGTTCGCTAACTTTATTTTCCTTTCATGAGTGTATACTAATTTCTTTTTAAGGGAGTCTATCAGAAGAATGATTCCATTCCAATTCGAAACCACCCAAGCCCTTATTTCAACCCTTGGGGGTGGGGGAGTGTTTATCAGTAAAACAAATACAAAAAATGTCTACAGGAAAATGAATCTCTCCCATTGTTACAAATTCTGAAAGCAATTCCAAAGATATAAGAAAATCAAGACCCTTAGGTCGAAATGATTACCTGCTTGTTTAAAGCATCTAAAGTTTCCTCATTGAGGTCATTACTGGCAGTAATATTTATATTTTGAAATCCAGGCACCCCAAACTCCTTTTCAATAGTCATGAAAAATTTTCGTGCCTCACGTGACAAATATGCTAAATCACCAGAGTCCAACCTAATCCCTTTAGCTTGGTACCTACAATAAATAGATTTTTTTTTTTTTTTTTTAACAAGAAACAACTGTTCAATAAATGAATGAAAACATATAACATGGTCGAGGATACAAAGTCCCATCTATTTGAACTCAGTACTCAAGTTCAATAAATCCTCAAAGTTAACTATTACCAAATAATCAAAAAACTAATATGCAATTATTACGTCAAACATAAAATTAACCATCATTCAGCTTAATTTTAAGTCAATGAATACACCTATCTGGCTAGCAAGTGATATACTTCGTTACTAGGTGCAAAGAAAATTCTTTCTTCATCAACCAGTTCATCCCCAAGTAATTTGAAAAGCTACATGTGTCAAATATGCTCAATTTAAAATATTTGAATTTGAAAATTGGAGATCAATAAAGTCTCAGAGGCCTGAATTCGAAAGTAACAATTTGGCCAATGTATATAGGACTATGTCTGCTATTACCAATTTTCAGCAACTCTCCATTAACTCGTTATATCAAACCTGATCAACACTATAAACTATAAAACCCGAGTATTGTAAAGCTTAACAATATTACTCTAGTACACATCGTTTTCCACTGCCCTTGTTCCTTAACCCTTTGGGCAAATCTGTTTTTAGTTTTTGGTTGGACTGTGGATCTCTCTCCAATGGAGTCCTTCTGTGCCTGACTTTACTGCTCATTGCCACTCTTTCAGAGAGTCCAAGAAGGTCATGTGGCTTCACATCACAAGAGATATCATTTAGTTGATTTGGAATGAAAGAAACTCCAGAATTTTTCAAGGGAAAGATTGAAGCTTGGAAGAATGATTGGATTCTGCTCTTTTGTGGCTTTTTATTGGTGTAAATATATTCTAACCTTTAGTAATTACAACTTAAGTTCTCTGAATCCAAATCCATATTCTGATTACTCTTATCCTTGAGGAAATTTATTCAATAACAGAATGACAAAGACTAGCTATAGCCTCTTAAAACTAGGTTGTAATGGTCAACTGATACCTTTTACCCTCACTGTCTTGGCTGCCAGATGAAACTAAACAAATAGTCAACAGCCAAACCATCCCAGACAACTAACCGATTCAGTGATCACTTAAACTAAGCAGTAAAATAGGCCAATTACAGAAAAAGTAAACCAGGCTAGTAGCGCAACAGTGCATTTCGAGTCAAATCATAAATGTAGATAGAAGTCTCGATAAAGAAAGATTTCAGGACAATTAAGTGCCACTAATAGGATAATAAAAAAGAAAAAAAGAAAAAAAGAAAAAAAGAAAAAAAGAAAAAAGAAAAAAGAAAAAAAAGAAGGAAAGAAAGAAACATTCACCAATCAAGTTTTGATTCAGAAAACTCATTATATAATCATTTCATAATTGTAACTGGTAAGTGTACTTCAAGCATACCCCAAATCATGGAGTGCCATAGCAACTGCACAGAAATTAGGGATTCCACTCCGTATAACCTGGAAAATATATGCGAGTAAGGCATTGGTTAGAAATACAGGCATCAACAAGAAACATGAACTATAACAAATGAAGAAAAAAGAACATACACATAAAAATATATTCATAATTGATTAATTTTCACATAATAAGTTATGATTTTTTTTTTTTAAATTAGAAACAAAATTTTCATTGATTAATGAAAATGATAAAATGTTCAAGATATAAACTCCTTTTGGAGTGAAAATGTGTTGCAATAATTTTCAGAAAGGTACATATGTCTTTTATAATATAAAAATAAATCTAACTAAATACTTAGATATAAAAATAATTTATAACGTGAACTTTGACAATCTTAGGTAAGTCTTCATTCCCCTTTTTTTGTATAAACCCTCCGGGATAAGTCAGGTTAACTCTTGGATTATAGACTTTTGTACAACAGATTACATAACCCTCACTCACAATATTTTAATACATACAAACAAATTACCATGGAAAATGGAACCCACACTGACAAGAATAGGCGATGTATCATTTCTCAAACCGTTACACCAAAAAACGACCTATACGTCCAAAAACTATCTAATAGTCTCTTTTCCATACAAAAGCTTATCCATGACCACCACTATAATGTTATTTTCTCCTCGTCCGAATTGGATGATTGGACTTGCCAAGAAATTGAAATGGCCTATACTATTTGCAATTACTTGAGAGAACAATTAAACATGCACCTATGTCATTTCTTTGTTCCTCTAATAAAAATGTTATTTGATTACATCTCTTTCGCATGAGTAATCCTTCGTTTAGAGGTTTGAGAATTATGTTTCCAAATTTGTTACAAAATTTGTTTCAAGGACTCAAAGTCTGTAAGTTTTAGTATGATACATGTGAATTTATCAAACATACTTATATATCTTTTCCCATTAGTCAAAATAAAAGTACTACCCTTTTTTCATCATAATGATATATGGAGACCCTCAACTATTCAAAGTATTTCTGGAGCTCTTTGGTTTCTCACATTAATTGATGATTGTACTCTGGACACATGGCTATTCTGGTCACATGGCTATTCCTTCTCAAACAAAAATCAGATGTTAGTAATATTATTCATGCCTTCCACTGAATGATTCAGGCTCAACTTGAGGAGTCAAAATCAAAACTTTTTGAACTGACAATACTAGAGATTATTTCGAACAAACCTTATCCCCATATTTCCAATCTCAAGGCATTATCCATGATTCTTCGTGTTGTATAGCACCAGAACAAAATGGAGTGGCCGAAAGGAAAAATACACTTTTTAAACACGTGGGAAGTTGTTGATCGGCTAAAAGGAAAAAATATAGTTCGGTGTAGGTGGCTTTCCACATTAAAGTACAGTACTGATTGAACGTTGGAAAGGTATAAAGCAAGGTTAGTAGCTAAGGGATGTCGTGGATAGGCAAGGTTAGTAGCTAAGGGATGTCATGGATAGGCCAAAAGGAAATAATCTAGTTGGGTGTAGGTGGCTTTCCACATTAAAGTACAGGACTAATGGAACGTTGGAAAGGTACAAAGCAAGGTTAGTAGCTAAGGGATACAATCAAACTTACGGTATAGATTATGAGGAGATAATAGCTCCAGTTGCAAAGATAAGCACCGTAAGAATATTGATATCCTTGGCTACCAACTTAAATTGGTAGCTCACATAGTATGATGTGAAGAATGCATTTCTTCATGTTGATCTAGATGAGAAAATCTACATGAACATTCCTCCAGGATTTGAAAGCTCAAGAGGTAAAATATGCAAATTAAGAAAAGTCCTGTATGGACTAAGACAATCACCTAGGGCGAAGTTTGGAAGATTCACAATGGTGATGAAAAACTGTGGATTAAGCAAAAGATCAAGGGGATCACACTCTCTTTATTAAGCATTTAGAATCAAGGTGAGTTATAGTGCTTCTAGTGTATGAAAATAACATCATAGTCGCTGGAGATAATAAAGAAGAAAAACTTAAACTCAGAAGAAAATTATTGAAAGAATTTAAGATTAAAGAACTTGGAAGGCTAAAGTACTTCCTCGGTATTGAAGCAGCATACTTAGCTCTGAGTATTTTCATATCACAACAGAAAGATGTGATAGACTTATGGATGGAAATAGGAAAAAATAGATGTAAACTTGCAACAATGCCAATGGATCCACATAAGAAATTGGGAGAGTCAAAAGAATAACCTACGGTGTACAAAAATGTACTAGAGGCTAATAAGGAGACTTATATATCTAGGTCACACTCCACCAAACATAGCATACTCAATGAGTGTACTTAGCCAACTCATGCATGATCTGTGGGAGCCTGGCCTTCATGCAGCATATAGAGCATTACGTTACTTGAAATGAACTTGAAGAAAAGGAATTTATTCAAATAGAACAATTCATTGGAAGCTTACCAACGCTGACTATGCTAGATCAATAGTGGACAAGATATCTACTACGAGATATTGTCTTTTCTAGGAGGTAATTTGGATGGAGAAGCAAAAAACAAAATATGGTGGCAGATCATCTGCCAAATCAGACTTTCGAGCAGAATTTCTAGATATTGCACAAGGGCTATGTGAACTCTTATGGTTGAAGATAGTCCTTGATGACTTACAAATTATGGGAGACGGTCTGATAAAGTTGTACTACGAAAACAGATTAACTATCAATATTGCACATGAACCTATCCAGTATGATAGAACAAAACATATTGAAATGATCGACATTTTATCAAGGAGAAACTAAAGAAAGGGATACTATGCATTATTTTTGTTCCCTCACAACTTCAACCGACAGGTATACTAACAAAAAAATAAAAAATAAAACATCATACTAAATTGCTTCAAGAGTTAATATTCAAGCGGAATGATGTTTATTCCTTCGCTTGAATGGGAGTGTTGAAGGAGGAATATTAATGTAATACCCAGCCTTAAATTAGGAAATAGTTATGTAATCCAATTAAATAAAGAAAGAAGTTGACCTCCCTATTATTACCTAACATCTAGGGATTTATTTAGATTAATTGTTAATGGGGATTTATTCAAATTTATTGTTACCTAGATACTAGGGATTTCGTTAGCCTTCCTCTGTTATAAAGGACACATTTACCTCTCTAAAAAAATAATATAAAAAACAAGCAATATAATTTACACTTGAAACAAAAGATAATGTATTTCTTCTATGTTCAAAATAAAAACAAGGTTTTCTTAGGTAGAAGAAAGACTATCAACCAATAAGACAAGAATATTACAAATATAAATAATAAATATAGAATCATAATACAAAAAATACAGGAGAAAAAAGGAAAATCAACAGTACAGTAACAAGGTTTTCTGTCTGATTATTTCTCCTAAATTTTGAGGGCATCCTTGTACTAGAATAGCACATAAAATTTAAGCAATGATAAAGTGCGAATAAAAGGGAAATTAGCTGGATAAGGTAACTTGATCTACAAAGGAAAGAACGGTAATAAATGAAATAAAACTTGATCTACAAAGGAAAGAATGGTAATAAATGAAATAAATTATTTAACTCACATCATATGTATCCACAAGAGCAAGGAAGTCGGATGGAAATGCCAAAGCATAAGACGTGAACGCAGCCAGCTCACTTTGGTTGGTCTCACCAAAAATGCCATGTAAGGAAGGCAACCACTGCAGCAAAGATGTGCAGAGTTGGGTATAATAACGATTTCTAAATTAGTAGAAGGTATAATAGAAAAAATAAAATAATTAGATATCATAGGCATGGAAAAAGGATAAATATAATCATCAGACTGAAAAAATGCGGCAAATCCGTTTGAAACAAAATTCGTATAGTTAATAATGCATTTTGTGGCCTGACCACTCTTTAATGCTTACTCTTCTCCAGATAATCAATAGCATGTAGCATTGATAGAAGTAAAATTATAATAACCAAGGCACTTTGAGAGGTGGGAAACTGCCAATGGCGACCTCAAACTCCTTAATTTTCTCTGTTTAAATCTGAACATTAACAGAGAATAAAACCTCAAGAACACAATGATCCCTACCTGAATCTTGTTTAACCACATTTGAGCTGCACTAAGAAAATCTTCACAGGTGCGTGAGCCATCACTGCTACGAAGTGACTTATCTTTGATCTCATCTGGGCTCTGCAAATCATACTTATATGTAGCAATGAAATCAAACTGATAAATGCCTCTGACATGGTGTTTATGTGATGAATGAAAAGCCAAAATAATTTGACTGAAGAGAGATGTATTAATTGGTTTGTGATGATATCTTATCAAGGTTCTCTTGGTCTGTTGCTTTGCCCAAGGCCCACTTGGCCTTGTACACACCCGTTTAAGAAGGGAAAAAAAAAACTTCTTTGGCAACACTTCATCACGACATATTTATGGTCTGCATGGAACAGAAGGAACCATAGAATTGTTTTGTGAACAATAGCAACCTTACAATAGGTTTTATGACCATCGGTTTTGGTCATCCCTTGGTATAAACTTACCTCTTTTTCACCAATATAGTTTTTCATCTCTTTCAGTCCAGCCAGAGAAGTTCTATGTAACTCCTTTGGCTTGAGGTAGAAATTTCCCTTTTGTAGTTCCGTATCTTCAGTGAAATTCTTTCTTACAGATATATAAATATTAATTGGTTTGAGCAATTGTTGTATCCCAGCTTGAGGATTTGATCCAGGACACTTCAAAAATGGAAATATGATACGGACAATATTGATACCTTTCACGGTAAATTATGTTTTCATACCAAAAATATACATCAGGTAAAGTATTTTATTTTAGTTCCGTCATGATGTGAATTTATAAATTCTCAGAGCCAAATGATTAATGTAGGGAAAAATTGATGTGCCAGCAGTATAAATATCGATCACATGCCAATGACATTAAAATCATTATGTTGACAAGTCAGCCTTTCAACAAAGAAGTTGACAATTAGAGGCATTTCTTTAGAACTTCTAATAGCTAAATGAAAATAAAAACAAAAAATGACATGTAGTTTAAAGATTGAGCATGTTAGAAACTTGGAACTGTTTTTCTAGGCACATTACCTTCTATTTAGATGGGTCCATTAGGTTTATGACTGTTTTTCTAAGACACTTTTCATTATGAAGGGAAAGATATATTCTGAATGACCTCTTGTACTTCAACCACACTCATCTAAATCCAGCATTTCAAATTTGTGGAGCATGGTTTTTATGATATATACCTGAGCTGATCTCCTATCACATTATTGACAGGAATGCAATAGGAAGAATTTTTAAGAAGAGAGTGACTTAGACACAAGGAAATCTATTCTATTTTTAGCTTCCTCCTGATGTATTGAGTCTAATTTCTTTCGTAAAAATTTCTCTTAGAGCCCAAAGAAAGTGTTTTTGTTATTTCCTTTGAAAGGGAAAATTTCTCCCCGCATTTGTAATTTAACTCATCAATAAAAATATTTCTTATTACATAAGAAAAAGTACTATTCTTACAATTCCCTTTTCTGTATATGCCACTTGGCATGTGTTTTGTGTAACTTCCCCTTCGCACTTTTTTCTATAATTTCATCACCTTTCATGAGATGGCCTTTTTATTTTTATTTTTTAACAAATGTGTGTGTGTTTGGGAAATCAAATGAAATTGGCAGTTATTTGTATTTCATAATGAGCACTTCATCATCAAACTTGGCAAAGAAGTTAGAAGTCTGATTAGAGAATAACAAACCATATATGAGCTAACAAATGCATGGGAATGTGTCCCACGAAGTGGTATCCCAAATAACCTCCCAGCTGCAACGTTGCTGTGTAAAAGAGAAGAGTGTAGTTTAGCTTAAAAGTAATAATTTGAAGCTACTATAGAAATTAAGGATATATACTTTTTTTTCCCTATATTCACGAGTGTTTGAACGAGTTTACTAGCATTTTCACTAATCTAAGAGTATATATTCTATCAAACTAATAGAAAATAGGAACTACACTCTAACTTGAGCCATTATATCAGTAAGAAGTGAAGGAATGACAGGCTGATGCAAACTTGTACTTACTCTAAATAGGCAACAATCAGACCTAACAGATCAGACTGATGAAATCTTTCCCGCCCCTCCCCCCTAGAAAGCTACTTTAGGACATAAAAAAAAAACATAGGTCGAAAAGAAACAAAGGAAACATCAAGATAATGAGAAGACGGGGAATCGTTGCTAATGATAAAAAATAAAGAAAAATTACAATAAAATATATATATCCAATCAATTTCTTGGTGGACGAAGTTCAAAAATATTGATCATCAATCCAGTTGATATTGCTCTTGATAGCTTATTTAAGTCATTAGCCATAATTTTAAGTTTACATGGCAATAATTTAAAGTCAATTAATTAATAAATAAATAAATATATATATATATATATATATATATATAGACACACACACATAGTAGTGAGTACCAATAAATAAAATTGATTCACAATATGAACATATATAATAATAAGAATAAGAATGATGCCCTATTGTTCCAACTGTTCAACCACTTAAAGTTGTCCCTCATGGCCCATTGGAAAACGTAGAGCTCAATGGAAAAACGTAGAGCAGATAGTTCTATCCCTAACCACTTATCCTCCCAAAAGTATGTTTCTTTCCCATCCTCCGCAGAATACTAGACCAAAGAAGGAAAGGGAGGGAGCTCAATGGAAAAATCTTCCCAAGGATTTCTAGAAGTTTCTTTTGCCTTCACCAAACAACCAATTGAATGGATGAAGACCATGTTTACTCACAATAATCTAATGTTTGGGGCATTAGACCCAACAAAGAACCACCAAAGCCATTGAGCCTAAGGGGCCTTATTTTGAGTCCTTAAATTCTCTAACTCTGGCACCCCAAGATTCAGTGACTTCTCCATAAAATCCCAAATCACCAAATGCGCACTCCTCCCCTCGTCGACCCCTTCACACATAAAACCTCTCATATGCTTCTCTAATGACTTAAAAGTAAAACAAAAAGCCCTCAAGAGGGGGGGGGGGGGGG